GGGTCAAGGGAAAAATAGGCACACCCTTGCTCGCCAAATATTTTCCTTCTCTGTATCCCTTGGAACCCGGAGCTGAAATAGCTGTGCCGCCTTCAGCCCTCCACCTCCTTCTGCCGGGCCCACCCTGGGCCTGCGGGTGGACTGGGGCAGCCGCGTCCCCCGCCGCACGCGCGCCAACGGCCCGCTGTTGTTTTGCCCGTAGTCGGTGGCGCCGGCGGCGGGGTGCCACAGTGCGAGGAGCGGGGTGGTGGAGTGGTAGGATTCCTTCCCTCCTCTCCCTCCCTGCTCCGCCTCGCCACCGCTGCGCAAACACCCCGCGCTGAACGTCCGCGTCGGCGCAATAACAATTGACGCGCCGGCGGGCCCCCCTTGCGCGGCGGGCGGCCGCCCGGCCAACGGGGAGGGTGCGCGCGCGCGGGCCAATGGGGGAAGGGCGCACCGCGTTATTGGTCGGCGGCGCGGCCAATGGCGGCGGCCGAGACCGCCCGTTGGCGCGACGCAGGGTGAGGAGGGCGCGCGCGGATTTACACGCGGGCCGCAGCCCTTGGCGCTAACCCTCAGCCCTCAGACCGCAGCCCTCGGGGACAGGTGCCCTCAACCACCGCCGCCGCAGCATCAGCAGTACAGGTAGGACCCTAGGCGCCGCACGCGCTCTTGGTTGGCAAGCAAATATTCAAAATGTGATGTTCCCTTTTCTCTCTTCAAACCAAATTCCAAAAAAATCTTGTGTACATTTCACATTTAAATCGTCATTATACATCTCGCGTTTTTTGGATGGGAATACAAATCTAAACAAAAACACAGTAGAATTCAATTTTTTTTCCAAATAGACATCACACATTTTAAATGTTTGCTTGTTCTATGTTTGCTGCTAAGTAAAGTTGATCAAGTAATTGACAAATAAATGTAAACGTTTCCTCCTTCAATAGACTTTTAGCACGTTCATTAATTTGAGTATCTAATCAGGAGATTATTACCTGTATCATTCATTTCAAAATTTATATTAATATAAAAAATTGTTTTTGCAAATGTTCACTTTTGCATGCGACTGATTGTGCAGCGGTCTTTCGTAATGGAGACTTCAACAGAAGTATGAATATCAATTTGAAATTCATTAACTTAGACTTCAATTATTGTAGAAACTTTGAAAATCGCTCATGAATGACACGGTATTGATAATGGTGTTCATGTTTTTTCTCGTTATTTGAGTAATATTTTTTAATGTAGAGATGCAATTTATAATTTTAAATACTACAATAATTAATACGGATTCATTTCTTAGAAATGTGTCCATATTATTGCAAAGATAAGAACACTTGTTTGATAAACACTTCTTAAAGAATGAAAATAGTGGTGCCTAATCAGTAGAAATCTAATTTACCTTCTATGCAAGTCTCCTCAAATATGTTTCGGAACAATAAATACACGATGTATTTTATTTGTTAGTGAAACAGCACTCAATTGCATTTAAAGGGTCGCTTTATTCTGCGCTCTGTTAAATAAAAACATAAATATTTGATTTTAGAGTGAGATTTTCTAGGGAAAGTCAAATTTGTTATCAAATAAAAACAGCCGAATTACTATCAACCAAATTTAATTGTATTTATTGATAATATTTTTGTTAATATTATTTTTTTAAGTTATGTATTTTAAGATCGACTTGTTTGAGGAAAATTAACATATTTCTCCTTACTTCTGCCGTGTGATATCTCCTAAACTACAATAGTTGATTCCCCCAAACCCCTTTTCTCTTCAGAGTTCGTCTTTACGCTGTTTTCCCTGAGTTTCCTAAAGTGTTAAATATTTTTAACAAAACTGATACTAAATTTGGTAGTGAGAAAGTGCTTTCTTGTCTTATTAATAAAATGTTTACTTAGATGATTCATAGATGCTTGCTAAGGGTTTATTACAATTTTTCTCAAGATTAAGACAATGTTCTGGTTGTTTATTCAATATGATGTGCTTTTATATTTATATTATATATATTACACAACTCTAAAGAAGGAGTTACTCTTGTATGTGACTTTTCCTAGATTAGATTTTTGTTAAATTTCGACAAATTTCAACCAAACCAAGGATGGTAACATCTCAAGAAGCATGAAATATTTAAATTCTTTTTAAAAGTCAACTAATTTTTTATATACCTTTAGTAAGTCCATGTCCTAATCTACTACACATTAGTATTTTGACTTCTGTTATTCTATCAGAAAATGTGATAAGAATATGTCAAATTTCTCCTTATATTACTGTTTTTTATTATTGTTATTATTAATTGTTTGAAAAGGAATTTCACAATTTTTAATTTTTATAATACCCAAAAGTATCAATTATATGGTTGACGGGCGCACGAAAACGGGTAGAGGTCGGGTGGACACTGGTGGCACACATCACCAGAGAACTTCTCCTCTTTGCTTCAAACGTTGAGGCAGAAAATTTTGGCATTGGGTACCAAATTGAGTGTAATATAATGAACAATGAAAAAAGTTTATTACAAACATTTTTTCACACCCCCTTACGAATAAATCTTTCAATCGTCACTTTTCCGGAATACTGTTATAAAACAAACAAATGTCTTGTACAGGGGAGCGCGAGTTTTTCCTTTATTTGTTCCCCATTAATCGACGATTCTACAAGATTAAAGTTATACCATTAAATGGTTTATGTCATTTGGTTTTTTAATTCATAAATATAGATTGTATAAAACTCTGAACTTTTTACCAGCATTATTCCATAAAATTAAATGGCGACCTCCGTCCGTGAAATAGTTAAGCATCTGCTACAGTACTTCAATTATTAAAATGTAAGAGATGAAGACTTATTTGACATAAAAATTATTGGTTTGAACTAATTTACCTCAAAATCTCAATTTTTCGATTGTTTTGAGTTACATTATTGTTCTGGAATAGCGGTCTAATGTTGGTTACGTAATTTTATGTTCAATAGTTGAAATAATAAAATTTTAATAAAAAGTAAAAATTGCATGCTGCTGACCTTTGTAATGGGCAAGAGTTGGCAAGTAGATTCGCAAGAGTTGGCAAGTAGTAGTACGCACCAAATCTGCCCTACCAATAGTCACATTCAGAAATCCCACTGCTTTCGGATATTGTAAGTCCCAAGCCACCATTATTTTCACAATGACAGAGAATCGAAATTTCATGGCTTAATAATTTCCACATCCTGGGCAAAACCATCTTAGGTAAAAACCATACGCTTCACTGAACTCAGTACTGGTTGTCGGTCGTCAGCAAAGAGTGAAATCTTTCTGTGCGTTCTATTTATATTTTGTTTTATATTTACCTCCTCAGTTACCTATTCTTATTTTTTGAGAAACGTTTCTACAATTTACCCTTTTTTCTTTTAAAAGAGCTTAAATTGCGAGAATGTCATGATACCTGATTTAGAGCAAGTCTAATTTTTCTGATTCACTTTTCTTTCAGTATTCCTTTGCTAATTTTTAAAAATTCCGAAAAATAATGCCTCCTATAATTTTTAAGCATTAATTAAAATGACCATTTAGACACGTTAATTTAACTGCTGGTAAACTTTTTTGTAGGATTACGCATCGTTTCTTATTCTGACAAGGTTTCAACTGCTCCAGTTAGGTTTTCATTCTAGGTTACTTCTAACCACCATAGAAGAGCAAAGGGTTATTTCTCTCTTGCATCAGAATTAAATGATAATATTTCTGTAGGTAAAACAGATTTTTCAGTGAGTCTTACTCTTGCAGTAGCTGGAACTCTTAGCCGCGTTTGCGCTTAGCTAAACCTTTTCTTAGTGTCAGCACTCCACAGAGAGAAAATCCCCAGCAACATCAACTTTTAACATATGAAATGTGGTTTAATTTGAAATATCTCTATATTGAGTGTTTTATAAAATTACAAACATTTGTGTTCCCGAAATAAATTAATATACCTAAAAAATAAGAATAGAGAATTTTATCTTGTAAATCGAAAAGGAAGTGCAATAAACTAATGGTGGTATGTCGTATTCTATTACAGTAATAGCAAAATAAAAAGGTAGAAAGGCCATTCTAAGCAATATTGCCAACAGGATGAAACACATTTTCTGCTCTCCGCTTTTCTCACCGTTATTTGTCATTAACAAAGAGAAATGACAACCTTGCAACTCTATTCATATCGGTACATATTCATTTTTATCTCCTTTAATTATTCACAGAGAGTGTATAAATTATTTTATAAAGCTCTTAAATTAATACCTAATGTTAAATGAAACCATTGATAAAAAACTGGAGTTGGTGCGCTATGAGATTCAAAACCATAAATGTTGACGAACATTTAACATTCATTCATAGTTTTAAGAACTTACATTTTCCATCTTGAAGTATTCCGTAATCACTAACCAGACATCAAACATTTTAGCAATTTTTAGAGCTGATTTACTTTCGACAACAAACTGTTTGAGAATCAACGAAATAATATGGTTGCTCGTAGCCTTAAACGGAATACATAGCATGATTGTTTGGAGATGCAGATACAATCTCAATATATCTCTCATAGTAATGATAAATTTGTATGATTTGCGTGATGTGTATAATTATGTGTGATGGTAAATATGTATACATGTGATGGGTAATAGGTATATGAGTGAATAGAAACGCAATCTCCTTGCGCGGCAGAATATCGTTGCACTCGAATGTCGTTGATATCGAAAAGTTAATAATAATTTCATCTACAAGGCTCCATGATTTCCGTAAAATACGTACAAAGAATATCAAAATAAGGCGACAAAACCGTGTTCGCGAAATTTCTCAGTTACAATTAGAATTTAAAAAAATATTTTAGGAATTATATAGCGAAATTTTGAATAAAGAACTTTCAAAACAACATGCGACGTTGTCCATTGTATATATCATAATTTCTCTTGCCAGATTACCTGAGCAGATAACCTGATGTTAGTTGGATTTTTCACTTAATCGTTCTCAGTGAATTGTTATGCAGAGGAAATTACGATAACTTACATTTTGCTTACTTAAACTGTACCTGAGCATCATCATCATCATCATCATCATCATCATCATCATCATTATTAATAATATTATTAATATTATATAAGATGCAAAAAATGTTCATACTTATATGAACTTGAGACGTAAGTGACTAAATTCCTTCATCTTATAGAGATTTTCCACCCCTTAATAAATTCTAGTTTTAGGTTAAAAGAGCACATGTCAAAAAATGAACAAAGCTTAAGGCCAACTGGTTTACGCATATTTTTTTCTTTTGAATCCGGAAACTCTCAATAACTTCAATAACCTTAAAAGTAGTAAACTCTCAGTCACTACAACGATACTTTTCATGAACACAATAAACGATTGGTTTCTTTTTCATCAAAAGGTAAATTTACATCTCGCCTTTTGGCAACTTTTAACGTACGCTCTTCTACCCTAACACTAAGAATAAGAAATTTAATCAAATTATTATTAATGTGAACGTGCTACAGTGTTCAGCCGTGCAGGAAAACAGTACACACTCAATTGTCACGCGCCTGGAAACACTTTTGGCTTAGCGTACTTTTCAACGTGTATTTAAGTCTCCGAGTTGACATATACAATACTTCTGACAGTTCGGTTGGTTTTTAGAAATTGACATAAAGGCGAGTTTTTACAAAGCCGCGTTTCGTGCCGTGAGGGGCGTGGGGGGAGGGGGGTCGAGGAACATGTTGGGGAAAACTACCACGCAGCCGGCCGCCGCGCCGCGCCACCGCCGACTCGACGTCACGGTCGCACACACGCACTCGCGGCGCAAGGAAAGGCGGAGTGTCGGTCGTATTGATCCACGAAAAAAACAAAACAAACATCGGCACATTGAAGCTCTATTGTCTGCATTTTTTACGGCTAATTTTTTTGTTAAATAAACTCATTGCTGGATCGAAAGACATTCAACTGTTGAATGCGATCAAAAATTACTTCTTTTCGGCGTCTACATTCTGTTTTATGTTGTTTTCAATTCAATTGTTAATTTTATAATTTCAGGTTGTTGGTGGAAAACGTGAACTTCTCCCTTCTTGTAACGTATCTTTTCATCTCCGCGAGAGGAAAATTCAATCACAATTTTGTAGTAATTGTCAAAATTCTAAAGTTTAATTAAAATATCTCTTCTGCTGTATGAATCAGTACACTGATTTCTATGCGTACAAAAAGCGGTTAAAAATGTGAAGCCAGGTTTGAAGAAATCTTGTCTATGCGTTTGGGGGAAATTGAAACAATTTAATTCAATATTAGCAAAAAGTACAAATATTTTTTTTAAAAACTGTACCTGATATTTAAAATGTAAATGTTTTAAAATCAATTTTATCATAAACGATAATAATTGTGTAAGAGAGTTTGAAAAAGTTCGACCTTTGCAATTTTCGAAAGTGTAAAGATTTTAATAAAAAGCAGATATTTACCACATTTATAATCGAACTTTTATCTATTTAAATAAGACACTTAATGAAAAAGATTGAAGCCAGTTCTTTAAAAACTTTGAAAATATAAAATGAGCGTTTTATAAAGTACCTTCATGAAAATTATCCACTTAAAATTTAATATCAAGGCAGATCAACAAAAAAAAATATCAATTTTTGAAATAAAAAGCTGAATAAAGTTCAAGCGCAAATATACTTTACGTTTCGCAAGGGTAAAGTGTTGTATCTCATTTCATTATTATATTTTTGATCTACTTATTATTGAAACTTTCAATTATATCTTCGAATTATTCATTATTAATTCTACTATTATATTTATTATTAGTATTTGAATCTCTTTATCAACATATCATTATATTCCCGTTGTACATACCGTCACAGGTAGATTAGACTCTTCAAGGCGAAACGGAACGTATTTAAATCGGATTTCCTTCGTGAAAGTTGTGACTGAAGAGTCATTTAAACTATTGGGAATGCTCTGCATGCCAAAATGCTTCCTACTATGTGTTATTACTCAATAACTGCTTGTTTTAAAGAAAGTGCATGTCGTTTAAAATCTAAATTGAGGGATAAACTGCTTTGACAATGCCATCTCCGGCTTCAGTATTAGAGGGAATTGACACGTTAAAAAAATACTTGAACGTTTGTAATTTTCAAACTGTCTAATCTATTAAGAAAAATTGAAGATAAACATTATTTATAAACGCCCTTTCTTATATTGGAAGAAAAAGTTAAAGAAATAATTTTCACTCGTTTTCCAAAAAATTTTGGAATTGTGTCAGCGGCTACTACAAAAATTGCAATATCTTAACGATCTCCGTAAGGGAGCTACCAGATCTTTCTCCAGACCAAGTTTCAGCACCTAAACTACGCAGCTAGATCTTACTATTTACCAAGCTTCAGCTCAAAAGCTTCCCATCTGTCAGAGTTATGCGGGGCACATACTTTCATCTATCCATCCAGAGACCCTAATTTTCTTCAAAGAATAAATCGTGCATTTCCTCGTTACATATACCAATCGTAACCACCTTTCGGGCAACACCAATGGATCTTAATCCTGACAACTGGGCAAAGTTACAGTCAAAGAACCTAAAACAAGGATTTTACTTCCGAAAAATGGAGATCGTATTATTGAGTTGATTCATATAATATAATGCAGAGAGGTAAAGAAAAAAAAAGAATTGTGATTTTAGAATTCGTATGTAATGGATGTGTTTACACTCCTGTTGAGCTCTAGGAGACCTGTAACAAATTTGGAACACGAATTATTTACAATCTGGAAAATATTCTTCGGGAGTAAGTCACGCCTGCTACCTTGGGGGATGCAGGGATGTAATGTAAAACGTAGTGACACTACAATAACAAGTTTTCTTGAATTAATTGTAATGGTTACGAAATAGTATAATGTTATAACGTTTTCCTTACCCTTCACCCATCTCTTGTAAAACTCTTGTTGAAACGACGCCCAAGACGTTCGAAAATAATCATATCTTTATTTTTTGAAAATAAAATCTTCAATTTCCGCAAGTGAGTTCAGTATATTGATCTCAATACTTCGAAAAATGTTGAAGAACGGAAATTTGTTTTGGTTGGGGCAAAATTCGAAACTACTGCCTTACATTTTTGCATAGAATCGCGTTTATCACTGAGGTTTTGAAAGCTGCGGCGTGCTAGACAGGACTCAACTCTTCACACGCAAAATCGTCTCCAACTATTAGAAATATTCATGAAAATATAGCAAAAATATATTAAAAATATTGCAAAAGATTATAAAAAATTCTTATCTTTAAGTCATTGAAGTGTGATTATTTGTTTTATGATTATATTGTTATCTTCCATGTCATTTTTCTCAAAAATATATAGTACTGATGCTGCTTATTTTTGAGAAAAATGTAAGCGTCGATGAAGCTAACCATTTTTTTAAAATGGGTCGTTAAGGGAAAGTGTTGGAAATAGTTACAGACCAGAGCCATGTTTCTTTAGTATGAAATAAGATTTGGAAGAGTTTCAAGGCGACAGTTCATTTTATGTTTTGAGGTGAAAAGAGGTGTATTTTCGTCCGTAGCTAAGTTACACGTGACGTGTTTCCAGTCGATAGTTATGATCAGGTTGTTTTGACAAACTGAGTGACAAGCAGAAACTATCACCAAAAGCTTTTTATTCTTCATTGAACTGAATGTCAAGTGATATCAGTATGTTATTGAAAGTACGCATCCGTTTTGAAACGTGATTTACGTTAGTTTGAATTTTCTTATTTATATTAAAAGAAAGGACAGTTTGTTAAATTTGTGTACAAATTACACGTAAATTTGCTGCAAAAACTCTCCATTAATAAACATTTCATAAGATTGAAAACCTCATTTGCTTTGCAGCCGCAGTCTTGGATTTTATGATCAACAATTATCAGATTTTGGCCAATAACGTTGCAGATTTAAGTATGATGAACAAAAATCATCATTTTCCCCCAAAACATCTGGAGACACAATGAGATAAGACTATACCGAAAATGATTTCGTCATAGTGAAATATTGCCTCAACAGTAATCATGATCTTTACGCCTATGAGAGAAATATGAAGCATTTGTTACTCGCACCTCGTAAGATACAATACATACTTCATTGTTATGTAGGTCTACTGTTTTAATTATTGTAATTTCATCATTTAAATCAACAATCGCTATTGATATTGATTGTTGAAAATACAAGATTCATATTATTCTATAAATGGTATTTTTTTTCACCAGTGGCTGACATTGAAACCGGAAAAATAAACTTTAAGCAAAATACTCAAACAGAATAACAGTTGCACGCAATATCAAATTCTTTCTTGGATCCATATCGCGCCGGTAGTAAATAAGGGAACCTTGAGAAGACAACAACCCCTCTCAGCGGCGGGACAGGAAAACCTCCCTCCTTATTTAACAAGGGGCGACACAAAAAGTCGGCGCGCCGAGATGAAAGGACGGCGCGGGCGCAGTGGAGCGGGGGCGATCGGTGGGAGGGGGGCACGTGCCTGGCTGCTTGTCGGAGGTATTTGGGCGGCGGCTGCGACGGCAGTGATGACGACGGGGGGCGGTAGCGGTGATGGGGAGAGCGTTAAGAGCGTTGGGGATGGTGTTTGTGGTGACGGAGGCGGGGAAGGAGGGAGCTGTAGTGGTGGCGGGGACTGGGGTAGAGGCGGGAGCTGTTGCAGTGAAGAGGACGGGGTTGTAGCGGGGAACGGGAGTTGTGGTGGTGTTTGAGGAGGGGATGT